ACAAACGAAATTAAAATTAAAATGAACAATAAAACAATTGCTTCAAATACTAATAACAATAAACGTGGGGGGCCGGGTCGTCTGAGAGGCTTTTGCGCGTCAAGAGTACGATTCGTAGATGGCTCCCCGAGAACCTGAGCTGGAAACAAGGAATCGTCCTTACGCGATTAAGAATAGGCCATACGCGGTTGACACTCGGGCACCTGCTCTTGGGCCAAAGCCCGCGCAGGTACCCCTTATGCAGAGAAAGGTTGCTCGATGTGTCCCACATACTGGAAACATGTCATGCCTTGGCTCCCTACAGGGAGCGTGTAGGCATGCTATCCAATCTGAAGATGCTACTCGAGCACTGCAGCGAGTTTCAGTCCCCTGTTCCGCTTTTTAGAGGAAATAGGGTTTTTTTTATTGTATATAATATATCTTATGAGTTGTGTGTCTATGTTTTGACTGAGTGCATGTATTTATTAGCGTGAATGGCGAGGGGTGAGAATGAAATATAACGTCATCGTTGTGAGCGTATGAGTGGGTATTCGGGGTCGATGGCGGAATATTTATAAAAGTACTCCACCGACCAAATGAGTGTATTGTATGGATGTATTTATGTGTTTGAATGTAGTGTTTGAAAGTGTAAATGGAATATATATATATAAGAAAAAAACGCGTTGACACTCGCGAGTCAGGCCTCTACTTATCTTTGTAATTTTGGTTCTGGCTTTTTAATTAACACAATAATTCCGCGTCTCACTTTCTCCACTTCCGGGAGCACACTGACCTTTTCCTTCTCACAATCCTCTATAACCTTGCTGGAGGGCGCTTGGTCAGGCTGACGTGTGAAGTTGTAGCGTCACGCTGCAGCGTCTCACTACCCACCCCTGAGGTTGGATGCAATGCTGTAGGAAATTCAGAGAGGGTAAACATAACTTATTCGGCATACATTAAAGTTAAAATCAATAAATTTTTCTGGTTGCAAAAGTTTTCAATCGTTCCAAACCTATCTTACCAGGTTATTAAGGGACGGGACTTCATTGGCAGAACCCATATTGTTATAAAACCAGCTAAAAATATCATTAACTTTGCATTTAACCCAAATATTTCGATTCCGCTACTAAAACAATTTGAGAAAAATCCCCTCTCCATAGTAGCATACGAAAACATTTTTGAAAAATTTCAATCTTTATATACCGATGTATTTACCGACAAATTAGAGAGCACACAGTTGATCGCATACATTTCTCTCAGGCCGGGGGTTCTTGGATTCTAGAAAAACAAGGGTCTGCTATCGTTTAGGGCTCGAACGGTATCAGGTTCTAAAATCGAAGGTAGACCACTTGCTTAAAGAAGGTATAATAGTCATCAAAAGCATCGCCCTGCTTCCTCGTCCTAAAGAAAAATAATGAAAATAAACGGGACTAAAGATTGGTTATTGATTATAGAGATTTAAACACAAAAACAAACTATATCAATCAGTAAACCCCAACGATAGAAGCTCTAATGTTCTGGACGGTTTTCGGTTTTCAATTTAAATTCTGCGTACCTTCAAATACCTTTATCTTGAGAATCAAAAAAACTTACTTTCTTTCAAGTACCATGGGGATGTTTTGCATATAGTAGAATTCCTTCCGGATAAGCAACTGGGGGCCGGATTCTAACAAAACTAATGTAAAAAATATTTGGAGATTTGGTTTTTAAATTCGTTTTCGATTACTTTGACGATTTTGTAATTTATTCACAAAATTAAGAACAACATGTCGAACATCTAAAGGAAGTATTTGACCGCTTAAGAAAGGCAAACTTAACAGTTAATAAAAATACCGAAAATTTACTGAAAGAGAAGATTAAAAGAAAGGCAGAAAATACAAAAAGGCGCTGGTCTCTCTTTGAAGTGTATGGATTAGAAAGAGGCTTGTCGTACCTGCACGCCCTTCGGGGGTCCAAAATTTTTCTTTTTCCTCTTTAACTTTTAAATTACATATTTGTTAACTTATTAATTTATTAACTTATTTAAAAATAAATCAATTTATATATCTTCTAAACCTATTTATACATGTAACTTATTTATACAGTAAACTTTAGTATAATTATTTACTAATATATTTTTCTAATTATTAGTATCTATTATCACTAAATAGTATTAACTATCAATAAATTAAATTATTAGAAAATGAAAATTGGGAAAATGTCTACGCAATTAACAATGATACTGATTCCGCTCTTGAATCCTTCCTTGATTCTGTTAACAATTATGTAAATTACTCTCTCATTGCTATAAAAATAAAAAGACACAATACTAAAATTAAAGACTGGATCACCAAAGGAATCATTGTTTCTACAAACACTAGAGATAAACTTTATAAAAAAGCATGTAAAAATCCTTTATTATTATCTAAATTTAAGAAATATAAAAATTTATTAAATAGGTTAATCAAGCTTGCCAAATTTAAATATTTTAAACAAGAGATAATTAAGTCTCATGATGACCCTAAAAAAATCTGGACCTTGATTAAAAAAGTTACAAATGATAATCTTCCAAAAGAAAATATTATTAAATTAGCATGTGATAATGGTAACCTTCTGTCTGATAACATTGAAGTGGCAATACTCAATAATTTTTTTTCGTCTGTTGGTACTAATATTAACAATGAAATTAATAAGCGTTATATTCCTGCTTCTTCTAGTTATATTCCCTTCCTATATTCCAATACTGAGTCCTATGACTACGAGCCTTTTTCCTTAAATCATGTTACTCCAACTCAATTAGAACCACTTTTCAATAACCCAAAAAATAGCAACTCCTTTTTTAATAATTTTTAAAATAATTTTGTGTTAAAAAAAAATCTAAATTTATCATTCCTCTCCTAGTACATATTTTCAACCTAGTCCTTTCGCTAGGTCAATTCCCCTCAATAAGAAAAAAATCATCAATTATCCCTTTATTTAAATCAGGTTCAAACTTTGATGTTAATAATTACAGACCCATTTCTTTGACTTTAACTTTGGCTAAAAGTTTGGAAAAATTGATAAAAAATAGATTATTTGATTTTCTTAATATTCATAATATAATTGCTCCTAACCAATATGGTTTCAAGTCTGGTAAGTCAACTGAACAGGACTTTTTGATGTTAACAATATTTCAAAAGAATTGGTTGGAGGTTATCATGTTTTTGGGATCTTTCTAGATTTAAAAAAGGCTTTCGACTCCGTCTATCATTGATTGTTATTAAAAAAATTAAAATTAGTAGAAATTGTTGAGATTCTTTTTAAACTTATTGCGTCTTATTTAATGGGTAGAACTCAGATAGCGAAAGTTGGAACAGTCTTTAGCAATCCATTGCCTATGGTCTCTGGCGTCTCTCAATGTACGGTTTTAGGTCCCCTATTTCTTCTTTTATATATATATTAATGATCTTTTAAAATTGAGAATGTCTGGTAAAGTTTTTAGTTATGCTGATGATACGTGCTTGATTTTTTCTGGAAGGACAATTGATAATTTGATTATGTCTATAAACAAATCTTAGACTTGTTAAAGCATGGCTATCTTCTAACTGTTTACTTTTAAATAACGATAAATGCGATGTCTTACTTTTTGCATTAAGTAAAAGATTAGTTTTAAAAAGCTTTCAATTTTGTTTACTGTTCCCCCATACAAATTAGAAATAATACTAAATATTTAGTAGTTATATTACTTTACTCTAGGTTAAATTTTAAGTTATATATGGATTCTTTGGTTATGCGATTGAGAAAACTCCTTTACATATTCAATGTATTAAGAAAGTTCCTAAATTTAAAATTATCAAAATCAGTTTATTATGCTTTGGTTCAGTCTATAATTTGCTATAGTATTGTTACATGGGGTGGAACCAGTAATTGTTATTTCAATCCATTAATCATAACTGAAAATTCTCTTTTGAGAACTATTCTTTCTAAACCTTTTAGATTTAATACCAATCAACTATATGACATTTTTCAGGTTCTAAAATTTAAACAATTGTTTTTAAAATGTTCTTGTATGTTTGTCATTAAAAATAACCTTTTTCCTGAATGAAACAATGAGTATCAAACAAGACAAAAAGTAGCGACTAATATTTTTATATCCAAAGTAAACACTAATTTTTACGTGTAGAAATGTGAATGGCACAACTACACAGAAGGCAAACACTTTGAGTGAGTAGAAATACTTTGATTGAATATAAAAAAATATATTTTGCATAGTATAAATTTACTTTTTTCCTCATCCTATATCTATTTGTTAAATTTAAACAATTTTTGTAAATCCCAGGCCCTGAAGATGATCTCAATAAAGATCGAAACGTTGGCCGATAAAGAAAATGTTTTTCTGAAACCTACTTCACACCAGACCGCATCTCACGATTTCTGAATAATTACTAATTTTTACTTCAATTTTTCATTAAATGCTGTTTCTAGATTTCTTTATCAGCATAAAATTAATTTTAACAAATTTAATTCTTATTATGATTTCAAAAAATTTACTACTGTAAAAATTTTAAATTTATAATTTGAACTTTCTTTGTGGTATATTTGGCATCATATGGTAGTTATGGTATTCTTTAATTTTTATTTTCTCTTTCTACTTATCTTTATTTGAATTTATTTTATTTTATTTTTGTTTTCTCTCTTCATTATTTTGTTTTTTCTTTCATGTATTTGGTCATATACGCCTTCTCAGTCCTATTGATTTAATTTTTTTCACACAAATTTTGTTCACTGACATAACTCCTGCCATCGGTTACAAGCACTGCTTTTAGGTGACAGGCGAAAATGTGCAGATTGGTTAAATGACTTACTTTTACTTATGGTTTTATTATTTTATGCTTAAATTCTTTTCTTTATTTATGTTTTTTCTTACTGCAGTACTTTACTTTTCGCAAATAAATTTATTATTATTATTATTAAATATTAGGGTTTCAAGGAAAAAAACATTGACAAGACGTTTAAAATATGTAAAACAAACATTTAATTATAATAAATAATGATGATAACAACAAATTTAAAGCGTAAGTGAAATTATAATCTTTATACCTGACCAATTATTATACAATACAAACTCGCTCATAAAAAGACAATAGTTTTTGTATTTAATTTTACAATGAAATATAAAGTATGTGGATTTCATTTTACACCTGTTATTCTAAAATAAATTAAAACATTAAAATAAATAACAAAGGTATAATACATAATAATCAGCAGTACTTAATTCTGAATGAACTTCTCCTCTCCAGGCATGTAATGTCGCATCGTCGAAAATAAAAATAAACCATTAAATAACGCATTCGTATCTTCTGTAAAAAATAGTTTATAGATCAGATTACGTGAATAATCGTCGTGGCACTCTGCGTATGGAAGAAACTCGGACGTTACACAACTGTCACATCCCATCTTCTATCCCTAGTTAAACCAACAAATCTTTAATTCAACAGTAATGAAAATAAAGATATAATAAATAATAATCAGCAGTACTTAATTCCGACTGAACTTCTCCTCCTCTCCAGGCAAGTAATCTCGCATCGTCCAACATAAAAACAAACCATTAAATAACGCATTCGTATCTTTTATTAATAATACCATAATAGTATGCAGATCAGATTACGTGATTAATCGTCGTGGTACTCTGCGTATCGAAGAAACTTCGGACGTTACACAACTGTCGCATCCCATCTTCTACCCCTAGTTAAACCAACAAATCTTTAATTCAACAGTAATGAAAATAAACATACTCTAACGGTTCAGGTTTTGTGCTTAAAAAGCTAACATACCTTACGGAGCAGTTTTCACTCTTGCCAGTAGGCAAACTCCTTCATCAGTTATGGCTCGTAGTGGATGTGTCCCAGCCCTATGAGAAAATGGGTTTAAAATAATTGGTAAAATAAAAATAAACATGCTTCTTGGAGGCCTTAACACTTCAGACTGAAACACAATGTTTTCTGATAAAAGTTCTTCAGTCAATAATTTAAAAAAAGTTGTAACATTGCGTTAGTTGTTTATATATTAGAAATAAACCTACATTCAATTCATGAAGGTCTGGAAATGGCAGTAATTATCCAATGTCACCACCACTTGCCATATGACATCTGTCAAGTCTGTGAGGTCTGATGGAATACTTCGTATGATTTCGTACTCCATTAAGCGCTGGTTCAAGGAGTCTCGCTTAGACAAGACCTGATTGTCACACAAATCTATAGGTTGTGTAACCACTCCTTCGGGAATTATCACATCGTCCAATACTTCACGATCGATTGCGACGACGTCCCCATCCGACAGAACTCCGAGCACGTTGCATTCATTGATGGCATAACTCTTCTCGCATTGCCACCAGTATAAATAGCTTGCGAACATATGCAAACCGTAAGCATTTGTGAGAATTATGCCTGTATACGGCTCTTTCGGTGTCGTGTGAGGCAACTGGCTGTTCTTCGGCGTTTCTACGTGGACCGTGACCGTGTGGAGAATGAACGGCCCCTGGAAATTCGCCGGCATATTCGGACATCGAAACATTCCGACGAATAGAGAAAACAGTCTGTCGTGTATAGCGAACAGCCAAACAGCCATCGTATTAGCCACCGTTTCCAATCTACACTTAAATCTGAAAAATAGAGAAACACATTAATTCACTTCTTCAGAATGAAATATATTCGCTTATGTAAAAAGTGGTTTGTACCTTTGGGCTAGTTGATTATCGGTCAAGCCGAGTTTTAACTTCATTAATGTCAGAAGTAATTGTTGATGTAGAGTGAGTTTCTCGAAAACCCACCCTCTGTATTCAACAATTTGTTCCTAAAAAAAGATAAAAATTTACAAAAATATACCATATTGATAATGTGCAACGGCGAGAATTTATTTATAAATTACCTCTGGTAGCATATCAGCCAAATTAAAAAATCCATTGGCTGCCGGGATTCCCGTGTAAATGTATACAAGCGAATCGCTATGCTTAATATTGTTTATTGAAAATGGAATTTTCAATATGTTATCCATGTTTTCTTGTATTAGTTCGGGATAAGCGCTTAAAGCGACGAGCTCGCTGGATGGTAAATACTGCAATTGTGCATATCCACTTCTATAACGAAAGTTGAAACAAATGAACCAAGTTTCCAAAATAAACCTTGCCTTTATAAACAAGAGATTTGGCATATGGATCTTGTGTTTACCTTATTGGACTTTGCACAACATCCAGCATTAGTACCGATTTATTCTTTCCATTTCCGTTGTTCCTAGAGTAAAAATATCTGTAATAATACATCCATTTTTGTTTTATAGAGTTTTATTGCCAAACTTACTGATCGGGACATGGCGAGTCAGGATATTCCAGAGTCGAGCCACTTTCTTCCGTCCTATCCTCCTCATCCAACAGGCTGAAATTCAAAGACATCGTCTATCAATATATAGGATACTATATACAACTTTGAATTGTAAAGTTTGACCTTTATTTTCCAATAATAATATTGCCAACGTAAAATCTTTACTCACCCCTCGAGGAATTTGGAAATGTTATTCTTCCTCCTCATTTCTTCCGCCGTGTTGAAACTGTAGCTGGCCATTGTTTTGTTGATAGTGTTTTTGAACGGTTTGTACAAACAAGAATGTTGTATTAAGGCCGGTGAAAGTCGGCAAGCGGTTTTATATGCCCATACCACGCCCTCTACCACTCGCTGGCAACCAATCCCCTGTCTAAAACTACCCCCTACCCTAGAAACTTATTTTACGATAATGTAGACTGTAATGTAAACTTACTATTAGACACTTTCCATCTCAACAAAATCAACCTCACCAGATTTGGAAATTTTCAGAGAAATTGTGAATAATATGCACATTTTTTATTTCACCGTAATACTTGGAATATTCAGAAGGATTAGTCTCAAAGGAAATTAAACCACTCCAAAAAGTAGTAAAGTTGTCTGATTTTTTCTGTAGGTCTGACGGTTAGTGAACCTATAACTTGATAAAATAAAAAGAATAATTTTTCTTTATGTTCTCGCGCAGGTGCTCAAGATCTTTTCCACTTGAAATGGTATGTAAATAACTTGTGAAAGTATTTAAATACTTACTTTAAATACTTTAAATTACTAAATGCTCAGATAAAATTAAAATATATTAGAAATTTTGCTTCTATTTGTTTCTTACGTACTTAACTTTTACGTAAAACATTACTTAACTTTTTCCTTTTTCTTTTTCAGTTGTTTCATATTTTAATCAAATTTGTATTTTGAATAAAATATTACATTTGGTAATAAGCTACATGCCTCGGTATTGTTGACCTCTTGTTCCGCTGGTTTGAGTCCATCCTACATAAAGATCATTTACTATATCTTAAAAAAGGTGAAGTTTCAGAGGTTGTTAACGTTGATTTTAATGGACCACATGGATCAACTGATGCTATATATATGTTTTTTTAAATATTTTCTATAGTGTTTGTATTGCAATAAAAATATGGTCATGGTTTTTTCTAGCAGATAATTTAATATTTTTGAGAGAGGTTTATTTGCTAGTGAATGCCACCTTCTTCCAAGAGGTTCTGAACTGAATAAAACGTAGAGTTATAAATTATCATGATGACACATGTATTTCGTACAAAATCTATAATAATATCATTGATGAGGTAGATAAGATAACCTACCACGGGGTCATTTTTAATTCCAAAGGCGATTGACGCAATTATTATGATTTTATCACAGCGTATAGAAATCTCAGGTTTGTTCAACGAACGACCGAAGATTTATTTTAAAAATCTCTTGCCATCAAATATTGGCTATTCCGACATTCTAGTCAAAAGTCATTTGGAATAGACAAGCGTTGTTTGGTCCTCACATAATAGTTGTGTCAAAATTTGAAGGTCCAGAACAAAGGAGTGTGGTATTTATTGTATTCTAGCACATATATAATTTTAAAAAAAGCTCCAATTGATTAGGCTAGATACTAGCGTCGCATCATCTGCTCTTTGGTTCTTTCCTGGACAGTTTAATTTTAATGTTCCATGTCGCTTATTGCGAAATTTCACGGAACCAACTCTAGCTCGACTTCTGAATGGAGCCTCTAATATTGTTTACCCATTCTTACATAGTGTTGGCGCCAGCCATCTCATTTTTAAATTATAACGAAATGAATTTTTTGCTTTTAAAATTAAATGGTTAAAGTATATTTAAAAATGAGATGGCTGGCGCCAACATTCCGCCCACCTCATTTTTACAAAATTAAAAAAAGTTCGCTTTTTTCTCTTATTTCATCAGACATAGATTTTTTAATTTTGTAAAAATTAGGTGGGCGGAATGTTGGCGCCAGCCGTCTCATTTTTAAATATACTTTGTTTTGGATTATTGTAATCTCTAATCCTACTCCCACGCTCCTTGCAAACCCAGTTCTACTCCTATGATAGAAAGGTCCTCACGTCTCTCTTTTCTCATGCTTTTCTCCCGTATTAATAAAGAAGTCTTTAATCACGCGACCATGAAAAAGCCTATGTGCTGCTGTTGAGAGTCAACACGTCACGCAAGGATGGCACAATTACACAGAAGACAAACACTTTGAGCCCTGAAGATGATCTCAATACAAGATCGAAACGTTAGCACGATAAAGAAAATGTTTTTTTGAAACCTACATCACACCCGACCGCATCTCACGATATCTGAATAACTATCGATTAACGGTCACTAATCTCTACACATTGTATTTTAATTTAGAATTTTCTTAAATTTATTTTATTAACGTTTCATTTTTTTAAATTTTTTTTTCTTACATGGCACTGGCCGTAACACATAGCATTAAATGATTAAACGATTAATACATCGTTACAGTAATTAATGAGCATAATAGTTACTTAGGATTACAACCCTAATCCTATTTGAAAGGCGGGTCGATTCCATAGAAGATTCTATTAAAATGAGCATAATATTGTTGAATTTGTAAAAGTAAAAAAATTCTAACAGTGTACTCTAAATGAAGAATACTTATTTATTATAATTTGATAATTACCTTTCAACTTGGTCTGCCTATCCTCTCCCAAACAAACGAGACTACGTAGAACAAGTTGATTGGTAAGTACCAAATTGTAGATTCATCACCCTGCGGACCACAGAAGGAAATCTCGCAATTTAATTATTATGTTAACTATTTATTTAAAGTGTTATATATAGCGACCAGATTTTTACTCATGAATAATCTCGATTTTTATAAATACTCAATTAATTACACACAATTTTTTTCGAAATGAAAAATTTGTGTCACAGGGGTTTATAATTAGAATAAAATCGGGTAGTCGAAATGAGAAGTTTGTGGCATGGGCGATCGAAGTTGCGGAAGCTCAAGTGGTAGAGTAGCGGCGTATTTAGCCGAAAGTCGTGGGTTCGAATCCCGCCTGTGACACAAATTTTTCACTTTGAAAAAAAATTGTGTATAATTGAGTATTTATATATTTAATAGAAGCTGATAAAATTTAGTATTAATCTCGATTTTGTTTTGGTCTGAATGAAGAAACGAATTCAATTGTTACTGTCAAGGTTTCGGTCTATTTTAAGGTCAGCATCAGGGCAACACTTAAATATGTCTAAACATTGATTAAGTTTTTTAAATAGAAGGTTTCAAATTTCTTTGAAAAGAGACTCTGTCCCAACTTAGTCAAGGACGGCTACAGACTGGACTGTTAGGACTGGTCTGCTAGATGAGTGACGGAGTAAAGTCAGATTTTCAGTGTGTCATATGTGTTTCTGTCATTTACACTTGTGTTGAGTTTTTGTTTATAGGCATTTTAATAATGGATACTGTTTGTTTTGTTTTATCAGCTGAAAGGATGAGTATATCTGGGTTATTATAAGGAATTTTTTAGTTTTTGTAAATGTTGTGATTATTTGCGGTTAGATATTTTAAGCGGTTTGTACGTATAAGCAGTACCCTCAGATGAAGTACAAACAACATTAGAAACATTAAACAACTCTCATCCTACCTTGCAATCCTCACATGAATTCGAAACAGAAAAAATACTGTTCCTAGACACACTTGTAATATATATATATACAGGGTGAATTGCTACTCGTGCTACAAACTTCTCCAGTAGATTCTTCACCCTAAAATGAACAAAAAAGTTCATATTGTCCATGGTCCGATTCTCAACCATTTCAGAGTAATTTCGCTTTTTATCGATTTTGAAAGATATCACGTCCTGGCGTCGGAAAATCGTGATATCTTTTAATCTAAACATTTCTCTGAAAATCTAATAGCACCGTTGAAATTCCCGTTAATTTTTCAATAAGAAGATGACGGTGGCAAAATGTTTGGGCTAATTTTTTGTGTTTTATTTCAGCCAGAACTACAAAAAGAGTGGAAAATTGTGTAAATCGGAAAGTGTATAAAGTAATCCAGAGTTTCTAATTTTAGTCTCAGAAGGCAGCAAATTTGAGGAAAACTACCTGATTTAATAACGCTTCCAACGCACTCGTCATTTTCTTATTTAGTGGTTGTGAGACCAAGATGTTGATGACAAAAAGAGAAAAAATGGTGGTTCAAGGATTGCTAATGTTTGAGAGTGACTTGCTACTCGTGCTACAAACTTCACCAGTAGATTCTTGACCCTAAAATGAACAAAAAAGTTCATATTGACCATGGTCCGATTCTCAACCATTTCAGAGTAATTTCGCTTTTTATCGATTTTGAAAGATATCACGTCCTGGCGTCGGAAAATCGTGATATCTTTTAATCTAAACATTTCTCTTAAAATCTATAAGCACCGTTGAAATCCCCGTTAATTTTTCAATAAGAAGATGAAGGTGGCAAAACGTTTGGGTCTTTCTTCCTTGACCTTCTAGCTGTTTGTAAACTTCTTAAGCATTACATACTAAATGGGCATTAAATTAAATTAAAAAATTTCAATGGAATTATGATTTTGATTCTCTCTAAAAATTAACGGGGATTTCAACGGTGCTTATAGATTTTAAGAGAAATGTTTAGATTAAAAGATATCACGATTTTCCGACGCCAGGACGTGATATCTTTCAAAATCGATAAAAAGCGAAATTACTCTGAAATGGTTGAGAATCGGACCATGGACAATATGAACTTTTTTGTTCATTTTAGGGTGAAGAATCTACTGGAGAAGTTTGTAGCACGAGTAGCAATTCACCCTGTATATAAAGTGGAAGGTTTATGGGCCGACAAACAGCTGAGGTCATCGCCGGCCCTCCGCATGTATTCCTTCTCTTTCCTGTCTATCTCGCGTATTTTGTATTGAACTTCAGCCATTTGAGCATCTCGATCTGGTTACTGACTCTCTGCTTTTACTTGTATATTACGTCGTTATTTTAAAAAGCTAGCCTCTTGTTAGTACCTCAGGTTGTCAATTTAAGAATAGATGCACAACATACAATACATAATATATATATCGCCACAAACATAGAAGTCTGGTCACATTCACTCCCCCAGAGTACTCGATATTCCTCGGGGCGGGGTAAATAACCCCCACACTTGTAATAGAATAGGAATTATGAGGAGCAATTCTTCCGACGTTGACCTACGGAGCTTCAGCTTGGATGAGGGCGATAAATTCAAAGAAAATCTTCAGATGTTTGAAAAAGTTCAACCTATAATAGCCATCAGATGGTCAAAGGCTACAGCACGATGTCATACGAATTTTCGATGGCAAGCGTCATACTTATCCTTATCAAAATCAACCAAATCGGTCAATTATTCTTGATATCTAAAGGATATTGTAAAAACTAGGAAGAAGACTTTATGTAGATAGACCTTTTTCTTTCAAACAATGGAGCCACATAGCAGAAGTTTTAAAATAAATCAACGGTTCAGCCAAGAAAGAGGTGGACGTATCTAATTTTCACAGATTGAAGCAAAACAAATGACAATGTTGGTTGCGCATTGTGACATTCAGTAATGACGAAAAAATCGTAGAAGCTAAATATAAACTGCATAAAAATTTATCCCTCATAAAGGAAAATTGGTAGAACAAACCACAATAAGATCCAAAATAAAAAGCATTTCAAGGATGCGATCAGACACAATTAACAACTTTCATCCTCACTTACAATTTACACATGATGTTGAAACAGATAACAAAACACCGTTCCTGGAGAAATGTGTAATTACACAAACAGATGGCACTTAACTATAGATTAGTACGAAAAACCAATGAAAAACAGATCGGTACACAAAAATAAACTAACGGACGATATTTACTGCACCCTTAATGACGATAGTTCTATTTCAAATCTCTTTGCTTTTCTCAAGGAATCAACGCTAATGTCAAAAATAAAGTATCATTTCATTAATATTGAGTCCAATATCAGAAACACGTAAAAAATTGCATAAAATTTAATTGACATTTTTTTCGCGCTCGTGGAGCTCGGGATCGGCGGGGTGCGGGGCCGTGTGGCCGGTCGGGGGCGGGGGCGCCGGAGGAACCTACAAGGGCAAAATGAAGCCCGAGGCCTGTGATGGATGTGGGATTAGGGGCATAGCACCCGCACATCATCGGAAGGCCTAGTAGGACAATAGAAGTAAGAAAATAATACATCCGGTGCTCTTTCGCCCTTGCGCCGGCTCGGGGGCTTCGTGGCTTGCGCCGGACTCTGGCCTACGACACATGTGTGCCTTATGGATCATTATCAAGGCAAAAAATGACCCAAATGGTTGAATTGCCTTTATATATATTTTTTAAAAAAATTGCTCTAACAATCAGGCGGAGCAGTTGGCTGTCTTGAATACGGTTGAGTGGGAGAAAATTAAATTTTCCCATCATGATTGATAGCGAGGTGACAATCGATCACTGGTTGAAATACTAAAGGAAAATTGATAGAACAAACCACAATAAGATCCAGAATAAAAAGCATTTCAAGAATGCGATCAGACACTATTAACAACTTTCATCCTCACTTACAATTTACACATGATATTGAAACAGATAACAAAACACCGTTCCTGGAGAAACTTGTAATTAGACAAACAGATGGCACATTAACTATAGATTGGTACGAAAAACTAATGAAAAACAGATCGGTATCTCAATTATACATCACACCACCCCTTACACACAATAATAAGCACTGCTAAAGAATTACTACTTAGAATACCCTAAGTCATGAATCCTAA